CGCGGCGCCGCCGGGGGGTCGATCACCCCCCCACCCCACCCCCGCAGCGACCTACCTTTTTCTCCGATTCGAAGCCACTGGCAGTGAAGCCAATCCGGGGAAGCAACAGCAGAGGCAAAAGCAACTGGGAAACAGAGCGCGTTTCTTTATTCTCGGCGATAATGGGCATTACAGGGAGGGTATAATGTTCCGCCTCCCCCCCGCCGTGTGGCTCCGGCACCGCAGCCGCGCCCGCGCGCGCGACGACGATGAGCGAGGCGCGCCAGCAAGCCGTGCACCTAGGCGCGCCCCGCCAAAGGAAGAGGAGGGACGCCCCGATCCCGAAGGGCGGCAACAGCTCGGTCACTCGAGCATCACCCGGGTGACTCCAACCTAAGACCCATGGAGGCCCAACCGGAAAGAAAAAAAAATGGGGCGCGCCGAAGAACCCAGGGGGTCCGGTTTCCGCGGATGAAAGAAAAAAACCCTGGCGATGGGGTTCGAGCACGGGGGTTACCCCCCCCTCAAATTCCGGAAGAGGAATGAACTCCCAGCCGCGGGGGTGCCCGCGCGAGGGGTCCCACCCCCCCAAGCGCAACCAGAGGAAGAAAAGCGTGAGAGCCGAGACTGTAAGTGCAATGCAACAACACCTTAATCGCGGTTGCACTAGGGATTTGTATTAGTACGGGAACAACTGAATTACAGCCGGTGAGGTTTGGGTTCGGGTTCGGGCTTATATATTGGGAACCCAGTATATTGGAAACGCAATATATTGGAAACTCAATTTTCTAGGCGTTGTATATTGGAAACGCAGTATATATGGCGTTGTTCTAGGGGGCACAATTTTACCAGCTGTAATATGATACCAGCTGCACTCGAATATTTGCACGGCAGGACAACGTGCTCTCTAGGAACAACTGCGCGATAGGACATGATAGTACCAGTTGTACTCAAGTACGAGTTGTACGGTAGTCGGAGGGGTTCAGGGGTTCCAACGGCAACGCGCGCGGGGAAGAAGGAAAAAAATCCATGCGCCGCCAGGGGTCCCGGGTTTAACGGGTCGCCGCGAAGGTTGACCCCCCGCGGAAAGAAGAAAAGAAATCCGGCCGGGGGGTTGGGGGGTTGAGGGATGAGTCACGGGGGCGATACTCGAGCCCCCCCCCTTCGTGACCCCCCCGGTGGAAGCTCGATCGGATCCCTATCAGCGAAATCCGTCCCCACATCACGGGACAGACAAGGATTTGACTTAGGTCGGGCATGTCCCCCTACAGGCGGATTTTGAAGGAAACATGAGACAGACTCAAACAGTATCCAAAAATAGCAAAAAAGTGCTCAAAACATCGTCCCCTGACTATCTTTCGACAATTTCTGAATATTTCCCCTGTAGAGGGACAGGCCCGACTTAAGATTAGACGGCGCCCAAGGATGGGCTCCCTTCAGAAAGAATTTCTAGCAGAGGGGAGCCCATCTCCTCGGCCGTCGGGAAAACCGCCCTGAAGAAAAAAATACTCCGGATCTCATAATAAGCGTGGGGGGAATGGATCGCGTGGGGGGTCGGCTGTCCCACGGGGGGCGTGGGGGCGTGCAGACTTTGATGCTTCGGCGTCGTCCCACGTGGGGGGATCCGTCTTGTCCGTCTGGCGGGGGGGCGTGGGGGGTGGGCTGTTTTGGTGAGCCGTCGTCTCTTCTCTTCGCGTGGGGGGGGACAAGTATCTCTTGAGTGCGCTCATGGTCGGCCGACTTGTTAGCCTTGGCCGTCCATAAGGTGGGCTGATATATAGCGACGTCGGCCTGATTGAATCTAGACTCACTATTGTCCTGCAGCTTCTCCCAAATGGTGCTATATTTAATCAGCTAAGACAAGGCTAAGGCTTCGGCATACTGCCGCCTGCTTTCCGTTGCAAGCCTTTCATTTCTTCCATGGGGCTCTCCTGAGGGGGCCCATGTCTCAGGCCACGGACATGGCCCGCGCCACAACCTCGGGGCCAATCGATCCGTTGTCCTGGACGATCGTGCCAAGGGTCTTGCCTCGTCTGGCCACCACGACCTGAGCAACTGGCTGTGGCCGACAAGGTCAGGTGCAGGCCCGTGGCCATAGAGAGTCAGGAGGAGGAATGCTTTCAGGGTTGTGGCGTCGTCCCCTCTTGGCTGCCCCACCGAAGAGCACGGCGAAGGGCCGCGTAGTAGCCTGCTCGGGAATGTCCGCACCTGACGCCCGCGCGCACGCCTGCGGGTCATCCACGAAGGGAAAAGGACGCCAAGGACACCATTCAGCATGACTAATTAGCGGGGGCGGCAAAGTGGCTGTCGCACACGGGGTGGGGAAGATTGGATCCTTGTTTCGCATTGCGGTTTCGATCACGACGACGACTCCAGCAAACAGGAGATTAAACACACCGCTAGCCATTGGCTCTCCTGACCTGGACCCGAAACCTTGAGCATCCATCTCCCACTTTCCACCACGCGCCTGGATTGAGCTCCGTGAACAGGGCAACCACATAACAGTCATCATATTGGTTCTGGAGCAGGGAGGGTTGTCCCAGGGCCGCCAGAATGGGTTCATGGAAGCACAGGGGGGTCTGAGTCGAGTCGAGGTCGGCAAGGATGTCGGCAGTTCGCACTGGGAGAGCCAAAACAGATTTCTTAACCACCGTCCGAAAAGCAGCGAAGGGGTCCACCGAAGCAGCGATAGCAGGGGCCTTGCAAGCTGACGTCATGCGCTGCCACGTCACCACCGTATGGGTGGCATGATCAGCCCCTCTGCCAAAAAGCCCTCCGAACATGGTGTGCGTAAACACTCTATCCAGCAAGCTGTGCCACAGGTTTCGGGCGAAGCTGTGAGGATGCTCAGCCACGACTCTGCCAAGTAAGATCTATCTCCAATCCCCTTTTAGTTGAGGCTGCCCCTTATTGTAAGCCTCAGCCACGGTCTCCTCCTGCAGCTGGATGGCATCCCCGAAAGGTTTAAACACCACCGGGTGCCAAAGCCTCGACAACTGACGCGGGACCACTTTGTTGAGATCATCCAGGCTTCCGTCTGGGACCCCGCGCGGTCCCTCTTGGCCTCGGCAGGACTACATTCCAGACATTGTTTGGATTCAACAACTTGGGTAAAACGCAAAGCTTGGGTGTCAAGAGCTGGGAGGGTCAAGAACCGAGCAGCGACCTCCTCCTCCTACACAATTACTCAATATGAATACTACTCTCCCTCTTCCCCTGATGACGGTTTGAAAAAGATCGCCCCCCCCGCGTACTGTGTTTTTACACACAGGTTTCCCCGGAGTTGGGTTTTCGCCTGCATTTGTTTCAAAATGCTGCTCTCGCTGAGGCGCTGGCATCATTTTCGGGCCCCGCTCGTTCCGAATCGTGCTCCCGCTGCAGCGCTGGCCTCATTTCCGTGCTTCCGCTCGTTCCGAATCGTGCTCCCGCTGCAGCGCTGGCCTCATTTCCAATTCCCGCTTTCGACTCGTGCTCCCGCTGCAGCGCTGGCGTCATTTCCCGTGCCATGCCACGGCATGCAATGCAATGCAATGCTAGGTTGATGCTACGCTTTGCGGTGCTCTTCTACGCCATGCCATGCCGTGCTCTACAATGCATCGCGTACCCTTTCGGGATCATTGCCCTGCTCGACATCCGACTGTGCGAGTAGACAGGATCGATGTCAGATATGACGCGAGCGCACCTAGCTTGTCCTCCTCCCCCTCCCCCTCCTCCTCCTCCTCCGCCTCCTCCTAACCTCCTCCTCCTCCTCCTCCTCCTCCTCCTGCCCTCCTCCTCCTCCTCCTCCCTCCTCCTCCCTCCTCCTCCTCCTCCTCCTCCCTCCTCCCCTCCTCCTCCTCCTCCTCCTCCTCCTCCTCCCTCCTCCTCCTCCTCCTCCTACCTCCCCCCCCCCCCCCTCCTCCTCCTCGCTCCTCCTCCTCCTCTTCCTCCTTCTCCTCCTCCTCCTCCTCCTCCACGGCCACAAGGGCCCCGAATTCGAGAGGACCCCTGGGGCAAGCGGTCAGCGCCCGCGCTCGCCGTGCCGCGCCCGCGCGCGCCGGACCGCTCACCCACTTCCTGCTCGCCTAGCAGCAGCGACACCGCCGCCCTCTCCGCCTCCGCCTCCTCGGCCCCTACCAGCTCCTCCTCGCCCTCCTCGCAATGAGACACTATGAATACTATTCTCCTCTCTGCCCCGAAGACCCCGAGGTCGTAGCTCGCCCCCTCCGCGCTTTCAAAGGTGATCGACGATATGTGTATTCCAATATGAGCGTTTCCTGTGTTTCCCCAACTGGAGCTCCTGCTACAGCGTTGGCTCCATTCTGGCTCTCGGTCCTTCCAGATCCTACTTCCGCTGCAGCGCTGACCTCATTTCTTTGTTGCGGATCTCCCAAATCGTGCTCCCGCTGCAGATTTGGCTTTCATGTTATGCTTCTGCTCTCTCCGAACCCTTCATTTACATGTTTCGTCTTACGTCATGTCTGGTTTCCCTCTGAGCTTGTCACGCTCTACCGTGCTCCTCTCGGGATCATTGCCGTGCTCGACATCCGACTGTAAGAAGAGGGAGGAGATCTACGCCATGGTGAGGGATGGGAGGGAAGAGTAGGACGTCAGACAAGAGGCTTGCGTACCTAGCTTGTCTTCATCCTCCTGCCCTCCTCCTCCTCCTCCTCCTCCTCCTCCTCCTCCTCCTCCTCCTCCTCCGCCTCCTCCTCCTCCTCCTCCTCCTCCTCCTCGGCGCTCCCCGCCCTGGGCCTGGCTTGCGCCACCTCGTCCTCAGCCTCCTCACCCTCTGCCTCCTCATCCTTCTCGGCGCTCCCGGCCTTGGGGTGGCCTCCTCCTCCTCCTCCTCCTCCTCCTCCTCCTCCTCCTCCGCCTCCGCCTCCGCCTCCGCCTCCACCCCTCTCCCCTACCTCTCCTCCTCCTGCTCCTGCTGCTACTGCTGCTGCTGGTCCTCCTCCTCCTCCTCCACCTCCTCCTCCTCCTCCTCCTCCCTCTCCTCATCCCTCGTTCTCCTCCTCCCTCTCTTCCCCGAGGCGGGCCTCCGGCGCACGCCGAGATGCCCGCCCCGTACGCCACGGCGTCGGCGCGCACGCCCGGCGGTGGACGCCGCAGGAGCTCGACGGCCTCGCCGCAGGCCCACGGATGAGGGGCTTTTCGACGTCCTCCACGCTTAGATCGTCCTCCTCCTCCTCCTCCTCCTCCTCCTCCTCCTCCTCCTCCTCCTCCTCCTCCTCCTCCTCCTCCTCCCCCCCACAGCCACATGCTCTCCTCTCTACCCTGATGACGTCTGGAATATGTTCGCCCCCCCTCCGCATACTGTTTTTATACACGCAGGATTCCTGGGAACTGTTTTTTTGCTTCGGCTTTTTGTTCAAAATGCTGCTCCCGCTGAAGCGCTGGCCTCATCTTCGGGCTTCCGCTCGTTCCGAATCGTGCTCCCGCTGCAGCGCTGGCCTCAATTCTGCGCGTCCGCTCGTTCCGAATCGTGCTCCCGCTGCAGCGTGGGCCTCGTTTCCGCGCTTCCGCTCGTTCCGAATCGTGCTCCCGCTGCAGCGCTGGCATCATTATTTCCAGTGCCACGCCCTGACATGCAATGCAATGCTATGTGGTGTTCCGCTGTGCGATGCCATGCCTTCAGCTGCAATGCTAAGATATGCAGTGCTTGACTATGCAATGCCACGCCATGCTATGCCATGCTACGCTTTGATCTTCAACGCCATGCTATGCCATGTTCTGTTATGTGCCGCTGTGCGATGCCATTATTTGCGTTCCAATGCTTTTTTGATGAAATTCTTCACTACGCAACGCCACGCCATCGATGCCATACTACACTCTGCCATGCTCTTCTACGCCCTGCTATGCCGTGCTCTGCGATGCATCGCGCACCCTCTCGGGATCATTGCCCTGCTCGACATCCGACTGTGCGACTAGAGAGGAGACCTACGCCATGGGAAGGGATGGGAGGGAGGGTAGGACGTCAGACATGACGCGAGCGCACCTAGCTTGTCCTTCTCCCCCTCCTCCCCCTCCCTCCTCCTCCTCCTCCTCCTCCTCCTCCTCCTTCTCCTTCTCCTTCTCCTTCTCCTTCTCCTTCTCCTTCTCCTTCTCCTCCACCTCCTCCTCCTCCTGCCGCGTGGTCAGATAAAGGGTGTGTCGTTTGGCTTAGCTCCTGCCGCATCTGAAAATGCACGCACAAGTCGCTCCTCCTCATCATCCTTCTCCTCCCCCTCCCCCTCCTCTTCCCCCTCCTCTCCCCCCACTCCTCCCCCCACTCCGCCTCCTCTCCTCCCCTCCTCCTCCTCCTCCTCATCACCATCATCACCATCATCAACATCATCATATCATCATCATCATCATCATCATCACATCATCATCATCATGCACATCAGCAGCATCATCAGCATCATCGTCATCATCATCAGCATCATCAAAATCCTCATCCGCATCCCCATCTTCATCTCATCTCATCATCCCATCATCATCATCAGCATGCATCATCATCATCATCATCACATCAGCATCATCATCATCATCATCACCAACATCTCATCATCATCATCATCATCATCACAAATCATCATCCATCTCATCATTCATCAACAATCAGCATCATTATCATCCTTCTCCTCCTCTCCGCTCTCTTGCGCTCTTCCTCCTCCTCCTCTCCTCTCCTCCTGCTCTCTTTCTCCTCCTCTCCTCTTTCTCTTTCTCTTCTCTCTTTCTCTTTCTCTTTCTCTTTCTCTCCCTCCTCCTCCTCCTCCTCCTCCTCCTCCTCTCCTCCTCCTCCGTCTCCTCCTCCGTCTCCTCCTCCTCCTCCTCCTCCTCCTCCTCCTCCTGCTCCTCCTGCTCTTCCTGCTGCTCCTGCTCCTCCTGCTCTTCGTTATCCTCCTCTTTCTCGTTATATTTCTCTTTCTCTTCTCTATCTTTTTCTCCTCCTCCTCCTCCTCCGCCTCCTCCTCCTCCTCCTCCTCCTCCTCCTCCTCCAATCAAGATCTGCCCAAAATTGGTTCCGAAACCCTCCTGGGGTCCATCCTGGGCGGTCTTCCAGCCCATGTGGATTTCTGCGTTCCCGAGGGGCATGAGAGTGGAGGAGCTCTCTAGATATTCTACTCCTGGGAACCTGGAAGCCCACTCCCCAACGGCACACTTCCACCAAGACTTGGAACCAGGACCCTGGAGACTCTCGGCGGCACGCTTTTGCCAAATCTTTGCAATGCTGGGAACCGAAGGTCCAGAACCCAAGAACCTGGCCGCCCACCGAATCCGGCCCGGCACTTTCTCCAGATCCTTCAGCTTCCACGAAGACTCCATTCAGTGTAAACACTGGTTGCGGCACTTCAATGACCGATGAAAAAAGCTGCAGCCCGTCAGCAGAACACACCCTGTGCCCCTAACTCCAGATGCTCCGTACTTTAGTTGTTTTTCTGACTGAACGTTGTGTCGGAAATGCATCCCGTAGGATACAACATAGGGTTCAGAATTCCGCCGCAGAAAACTACGGCGACAGTTCCGACTTAGCGTTGTGGGAAGTTCCACAAT